TCTCAAGAATAGCAAAGCCATAATTGATCATAGTTTATATGGAAGCATCCTCAGGTAGTGTAGATTCAAATTTGTTCAAATCTTGACCCCCGGGGGGTAGGGCGGGGCCACAATGGCCGGCCAAAGTTTTACATAGAAATATATAGGAAAATTCTTTAAAAATCTTCTTCTCAAGAATAGCAAAGCCATAATTGATCATATTTATATGGAAGCATTCTTAGGTAGTGTGGATTCAAGTTTGTTCAAATCATGACCCCTGGGGGTAGGGCGGAGCCACGATGGCCGACCAAAATTTAACAAAGAAATATATAGGAAAATTCTTTAAAAATCTTCTTCTCAGGAATAGCACAGCCATAACTGATCATATTTGTATGGAAGCATCCTCAGGTAGTGTAGATTCAAGTTTGTTCAAATCATGACCCCTGGGGTTTGGGCAGGGCCAAAATGGCCGACCAAAGTTTTACATAGGAATTTTTTAAAAAACCTTCTTCCAAAAATTGCAAAGCCATAATTAGTCATATTTATATGGAAGCATCCTCAGGTTGTGTAGATTCATTTTTTTCTTCAAATCATGACCCCCGGGGGAAGGGCTGGGCAAAAATGGCTGATCAAAGTTTTACATAGAAATATATAGGAAAATTCTTTAAAAATCTTCTTTTCAAGAATAGCAAAGCCCTGATTGGTCATGGGACTATCTCTGGATTTAAACTTTTCAACAATAAACCAATTTCTTCTTTTCCTAGCCACTGTGCTCAGGTGAGCGATGTGGCCCGTGGGCCTCTTGTTTGATAAAATCCTTTGAAATTTTAATCATAGTCATACATTACGGAGATCTACAGCCTGATATATATAAATTATCATGAAAGCATGTGCATGTACATGTGCTTGCAAGAGCGTTCACGTGCAACACGAGAAATGTCCAATATAATTGATAAAGATGTAACTATTAAAATTTTTGATGAAATGCATTGAAACTCATAATATGAGGATATATTAGAAGCTTAAACAAGAGGACATGGTCAAAATGGCAAGATCTCACACACATGCACGTGCGCTGCGCTCTGATTGGCTGAAACTAAAGTCTCAATATTTTTCTTGTTTTTCGACAAAATCCTTTGAAATTTTGAACATGGTTATACATTAAAAAAATCTACAGCATGATATATAAGAATTATCATAAAAAGCATGCGCATGCATGTATGCTGAAATCTGATTGGCTGAAACTTTAAATGTCTATAACTTTCTTAGTTTTTAATGAAACGGGATAGAATTTAGAATATGAATAGCTATCATGGATTCCTTCATTATGGTACTATCAAAATGAATGCATAAATATGCATGCATGCATGTGCTTGTGCGAAAGATGCAAAATGACCAATTTATCTAAAAAACGGTAACATTGATTGTCACGATATAAAGTTATGTTAATGGTTTAGACAACATGCCATAATCATCTTGCATGTGCATACACGTACGTGCGCATACAATGCGTTAAAGGACATATAGTTGATAGCATTGTAGCCTTTATAATTCTTTGATGAAATCCTTCGATACTGATAATATTTCTAAAAATTGTCTTACAGGAATTAGGCGCAAAATGGGATTTGGGGAGCATTTAGGGAACATCTGTAACAGTCCTCGTTACAATTAGCACTAGTTTTCTTTAGTGTATAAATTCTAAATATCTCACATGAATTCTGATAGTAAGGTGTTTATCAGATTTTACCAATGCCACGGGAGATAACTCTTGCATAGCAAGATTTAAAAAAAAAAAAAAAACGTCTATAGATTTTGCCAGAAAACGACTATCATAAGTGTTTTTCCCATGGATTGTATTTTCGAAACAGAAAGACGAAATATTTTTAGATTTAGTCCAGTGTTAATTGTAGTCCTGTCAAAAATGTATTGGAAATTACAGTTCTTTGTTTCTAACCTAAATTCAGTAGTTTATACAGGGGAATTCAAGAACACATAACAAAATGATTTTTACATTCAAGCAATTTTCAAACAAATATTGAATAACATTATTCCATTTGGACTACTTTGATACTGTTTTCAATAAAATATCAAGTATTTGTCACATTCGATGTGCTGCCCATCAATACAGTACTGTCTGGTTTTTTTGGTGGACTGCCTCTTAAACGCTTAAATGAAATTTTGAAATAATCTCGAAGGGTGAAATTAAAAACACATTGCAATTGGTACTTTTTGAGATACTGTGAAATTTTAACAGTGTGGTACTAAAACCACTTACAGTATATAGGAAGAAAATCTTTAAAAAATAATTTAATTTTTTTTTTCAAGAATAGCAGAGTTACATGCTAATTTGATCTGGAGGCATCTTCAAGTAGTATAACCCCCTCCCCCCATATATTAATTATATTTTAATGAAAGCAATGTTATAAAACTTTGGAATGGAACACCTCTAGATCATTAAATATGGTACCATTTCTGAAAAACCCAGCAGAGGTATCAGTTGATTTTAATTTTCTTTGTACAGACCCCTGAAGTCTCTACAGAAGTTTCAAAGTTCTTGGATATGTCTCTCTCATTCAACAACCGTTTCCTTGCCATGTTTACAGACAAGGGGGTGATATGGATAGGCTCCTCAGATCTTCAGGTCAGTAACAAATCACACATAGGAATTTTATTTCTACAATATTACAGCTTTCTTAAGTTGAAGTAATGATTTTGTTTTTCTCTTATTGTAGATTCTTTTAATATATATACATTGTATTTAAAATTTTATAGAAAAAATACTGTGAATTCAACACAAAATCTCCAACTCCACCTCAGCAACTCTCTTGGTAAGCCAGAGATTTCTCTTACTATACTACTATTTGCTACAAAATACAGGTAACTCTTGATGGCTCGAACTTCGATCTCTCGAAGTTCTTGATCGCTCGAAGTGAGTCTCCGGTCCCGATTTTTTCCCCTATATAACTAAGCAAATTTACTCTTGATTTCTCGAACTCTTGATCTCTCGAAACCCTTGATCCCTCGAAGTCAAAATGCAGTCCCGCTATGCATATTCTATTGAAATTTACCCTCGATACCTCTACGTGGCTATGTGTATACAAGTTATATAATTAGCAACTCTACCTGGACATTTGATGGCCCCAGGCAGAAGACGCGGGTCCCGTTAAACGGGATGATTTTTCAGGTGATACTTATACTGCAAGGTGATTATTGATTTATAATTAATCTTATGTTGCTTATATGCTATTAAAATAATTATCATCGACTGTATTACGATAATTCAGAAACGCAGTGTCACTGAGAAATTGTAATTGCAAATTACAAGACGAAACACCAAATAAATATAGTTTTTATTTCGAGTCAGTGTCAAAGTTTAATGAAATATGAAAATTCAGAAACAGCCTCAGTGTCAATATGACGACTATTGTTGGACAAATATTTACAGAACTTTGTTCAACGCACATGTTTGGAAAAATCACAATGCTATGAACCACGCGGCTCTGTAAAATGTCGTTTTCATATAACGAATGCGTAGTATGATGTCCGTATAATAAAGAATAAAAAAATAAACATAAAATTTAGCTTTACTCAGATTGATAAATATTCATGTAAAATACGAAATCATATCACTGTTTTATAAAAAACACGTGTGAAAAATTAGCACTGCATGAAAATCATTACATCCGGTAAGACTTATTTTAAAACCTGCCAAACAAACCTGGAAAATTCCGGACTCTTGAAAACTCGAACTCTTGATCTCTCGAAGTTTTTCCTCGGTCCCGCGGACTTCGAGGTATCGAGAGTTACCTGTATGTCAAAGGTATTAAATATTTTGTAGTTTGATTTGTAATTTATTTCTCATGCTATTTGTTTTTGCCCATTATCATGCATGTGTCATTAGCTCACCTGAACCAATGCAGTAGAGAAGGGTTATAAGGTTAAGCAAACAGACTATAAATTCAATTTCATATTAAAGAAGGTACAGTTTGGGCTGTATTGTGCTCTAAGAATTCTATGTTCTTAAAAAGCTATGAAAGATTTATAGGTACATGAAAATATCAAAATAGATTTAAACTTATGCATACCTTTAATTAAGTAATGGAAAACTTGAATGATTAAAAATTGACTTGTACGATGTGTTTTAAGAACAGGTAACTCAATTAAGTGTGAAAATTGACCAACTAAGTGCTGATTTATGAGTTATCTTTTATAGGAAAGACATATAGGCTGCTTCAGTTTGTATTGTTATGTACACAAAAGGGTTCTTTTAATACATTGTTTTGTACAAAAGTGTTCACCAAAAAAAGAGGATTATCTTAAGGCTGGTATTCACGGTAAGATTTGTATTATAAGATTTGTATTATTATACAAATCTTACTGTGTATACACTCTTAATACAGTGTATTATACATTTTTTTGAATCTTTTTAAAACTGTATTAAGAATAAGGCAATGTTCTCAGGGCTCTCGATTCTCTAAAACTGGGGCCGATATTCGGCCCCGTTCCCAATGCAAAAAAGGTATCTTTTTTCCCAAAAGAAAGGTGTAAATTTCCCAATCTCCATAAGAAAATATTAATTAAAAAATGAAAGTCCTTGAAACTTAATTGCAAAAAAAAAACTCAAAACAAAACACTTTTGCAGATGAAAGTGGAACAAACTAGTTCTTTGTATGACTATCAATTAGTTCGTGCCAAATGCATTCGTAAACTGGTTCGGGGAACCAGGTTAGTGTTATTACAGGAATGAGTATAATTGTTGTGAAAATCGACAAAAAACATCATTTTGGTTTCAAAAATGTACATTTCATTTAAACCTTAGTAAGCTGCACCTAGAAACATACCCACGCTTCAGCATGTTCATTCTCGCGCTGATTTGGTAAGCAATGATGACTTTGTGATCGAGGAAATTTGGGATTATGTGACTAGCGACTGTCACTCAGAAAGACAAATACATATGTAAGAGCAATATTGTTATGACAAAGCTAATGTACTTTCATAAATAGCCTATGTACCCATGTTTGTTTTAGATCTGTTGAACTGTTTATTCAAAACAGTTAAATTGATGACAAAATGGTAGAAAAGTAAAATTTGAGAATTTTTGATTTTTAGCTCTACTGGTCAGAGACCAGAAGAGCTTATGCGATAGTAATGCGTCCGGCGTCCGTCCGTCTGTCTGTCTGTCTGTCCATCTGTCTGTAAACAATTTTTTAAAACGCTACTCCTCCTACAATTTTAGTCTGATTTCAATATTACTTGGCACACAAGTAGACTACACTAAGATACATAGAATAGTGCATCGGTTTTTAATTTTGATGAACGGTGTTGCCATGGTTACTAAAAATAGAATTTTCTGTGAAATTCCTTAAAAACGCTACTCCTTTTATAGTTTTGGTCAGATTTCAATATAACTTGGCACACAAGTAGACTACACTAAGATACATAGAATAGTGCATTGGTTTTTGATTTCGGTGAACGGTGTTGCCATGGTTACTAAAAATAGAATTCTCTGTGAAATTCCTTAAAAACACTACTCCTTCTACAGTTTTGGTCTGATTTCAATATAACTTTGCACACAAGTAGACTACACTAAGATACATAGAATAGTGCATCGGTTTTTGATTTCGGTGAACGGTGTTGCCATGGTTACTAAAAATAGAATTCTCTGTGAAATTCCTTTAAAACACTACTCCTTCTACAGTTTTGGTCTGATTTCAATATAACTTGGCACACAAGTAAACTACACTAAGATACATAGAATAGTGCATCGGTTTTTGATTTCGGTGAACGGTGTTGCTATGGTTACTAAAAATAGAATTTTCTGTGAAATTCCTTTAAAACGCTACTCCTTCTACAGTTTTGGTCTGATTTCAATATAACTTGGCACACAAGTAGACTACACTAAGATACATAGAATAGTGCATCTGTTTTTGATTTCGATGAACGGTGTTACCATGGTTACTAAAAATAGAATTTTCTGTGAATTTTTTTTAAAACGCTACTCCTTCTACAGTTTTAGTTTGATTTCAAAATAAGTTGGCACACAAGTAGACTACATAAAGTAATGCAATGGTTTTTGACAAGTACAAACCAGTAGAGCTACAGTCTCGACAGAGACTTCTGGTTAATGAAAGATGGTCATCCAACTTTTCCCAAAATGACGATAATTTTCCCAATTTGAACGGCCCCGGCCCCAGTCCCAAAAAGTGGTGTGAGAGCCCTGGCTCTATTTAAGGAATAACTGTCTTATTTTTCGATTTCATGATGCGATAATTTGAGTGGCCGAAGGCGTTTATGCATAAAATTTAGGGATGTCAACAAGTACCCGGTTAACCGGGTACTCGATCAAACGTCCGAGTATCAAATACTAAATCTGGTACTCGGTAACTCGGATGAACATATTTTTTTCATTTCAAAATACATAAAAAAAACTTTTCAAAAAATAATTTAAGTATGCATTCAGTAATTAGCGTGCCATCGCATACACCTGTTAGACATCCATATCGCCTGTGGCTGTGTGTATACAGTAATTTATACCCCCAGCAAACAAAGTTTAGGGAGGGTATATTGGAATCACCATGTCTATCTGTCTGTCTGTCTGTAGGCGAGATTTTGTCCGGACCATTACTCAGAAACTATTGGAAGGATTTGTCTGAAAATTTGTACACATATTATTCACCATATGAAGGTGTGCACCTGATATTTTCATCTTTATTGGATGATTATTTTGAATTTTACAGGTGTTTTTTTCATTTTTATTTTGTGGTTTTGTGGTTTTGTGCAGACCGTTTCTCAGAAACCATTGCAAGGATTTATTGCAGTTTCTCAGAAACCATTGCAAGGATTTATTGCAATTTATTGTCTGTCAAGCACTTCATGACACTAAATGACCAGCTCTTTATTTTCAAAATTAATTTGATATAAAGAATATCTAGATTAGTTTGATTTTGTATAATATGATTTTTTATACCCCCCGCAAATGAAGTTTATGGGGGGTATATTGGAATCACCATGTCCGTCTGTCTGTAGACGAGATTTTGTCCAGACCATTACTCAGAAACTATTGGAAGGATTTTTTCATCATTTGATTGGATGATTATTTTGAATTTTACAGGTGCTTTTTCATTTTTAGCTCTACTGGTCAGAGACCAGAAGAGCTTATGTGATAGTAATGCGTCCGTCGTCCGTCCGTCTGTCTGTCCGTCCGTCTGTCTGTCTGTCTGTAAACAATTTTTCAAAATGCTACTCCTCCTACAGTTTTGGTTTAATTTCAATATAACTTGGCACAAAAATAGACTACACTAAGATACATAACTCTGTGCATCGGTTTTTGATTTCGATGAACGGTGTTGCCATGGTTACTAAAAATAGAGATTTCTGTGAAATTCTTTCAGAATGCTACTCCTCCTACAGTTTTGGTCCGATTTCAATATAACTTGGCACACAAATAGACTACACCAAGATACATAATTCTGTGCATTGGTTTTTGAATTTGATGAACGATGTTGCCGTTGTTACTAAAAATAGAAATTTTGAAATGCTTTCAGAATGCTACTCCTCCTACAGTTTTGGTCCGATTTCAATATAACTTGGCACACAAGTAGACTACTCTAAGATACGTAATTCTGTGCATTGGTTTTTGATTTCGATGAACGGTGTTGTCGTTGTTTCTAAAAATAGAAATTTCTGTGAAATGCTTTCAAAATGCTACTCCTCCTACAGTTTTGGTCCGATTTCAATATAACTTAGCATACAAGTAGACTACACTAAGATACACAATTCTGTGCATTGGTTTTTGATTTCGATGAACGGTGTTGCCATGGTTACTAAATATAGAAATTTCTGTGAAATTCTTTCAGAATGCTACTTCTCCTGCA